CTGTCTGAGGAAGCAGTAACAAAGCTTCAGACTAGGATTCTGTGGGCCTGGGGAGCATGGAGGGCCTGGGGAGGGGAAAGAAGGAGGTGTCAAAGGATGAGCCAAAGCTGTGGTACAAGCTGAGCCTGGGGTCTTTGAGGAGCAGGGTGGGAGGAGAAAGGCCTTGACTGCCTGCCAAGGCAGGAGATAGCTGTGAGCCATGGGGCCATGAGGCATGGGGATGGGGGACACACAGGAGCACAGAGGCCAAGCTCTGGATCTAAACCTCACTGCTTGTGTATGTGGGCAGCACTGAGTAAAAGGAGAGAGAGTGGGCATGTAGAGGATTTGGATGATGAATGTATGGTGGCTCAGTGAGTGGAAGATGGAGCTGAGGCTCTGTAGCTGTGCTGCCACTGGAGCTGGAACCATGAGGTTATAGAGCTGAGAGGTACCTCTAGAGGACTGGGTCCAGCCAGGAGACTAGACTTGAAAGGCTCCTGTGATTCAGTGGATCCTTAAATCCATGCTCTGGAATCAGACTCCCTTAATTTCTCTGTGTCTCAGTTTCTTCATATGTAAAATGAGGTTAATCATAGACTTCATGGGGTCATTGAGGGGTTTCCCTGAGCCCCTTCTCAGTCCAGGAGGGCAGCAGCAACTTTGCCTGATCCATCTCCCCTGCCTGGCCTGAGGTTTTCAAGGGAAAATGTGAGGCCCTGCCCCCCAGAGGGAATTCACTCAAGCTTCTACTCTGCCTCCTGCCTACCTTGGGCCCAAGGATCCTGCTCTGCTTGGACTGCCCATCTTTCCTTCAGCATCTCTCTTCTCTGTTCTGGTTCCTTCCTGTGGATGTTAAACATGGTGTCTGATGTGGTACTGTCCTACCCGTCTCCCTCCATACATGGAGCACTCCTCAGGCCATGGTTGTTCAGTCTTGCTGTCTCTACAGTGGCCAGGCAGGCTGAGCTATCCTGAGATCAGAGAGGAATGAATGAAGGAGCGGGTCAGGCTGAGACCCAGAGGTCCCCAATACCCAGGGTGACTGGGCTCCAGGGTCAAAGGCAGTGACAAAGGGAGTTTGGAGGCCCTGGTTCCACTGAGCCACTTGGCACCCACAGTCTGACCCTGTAAGTGGTGTAGATGCTCCCCATGCTCCCAGGTTACCCTATAGTCTTAGATCTTCATTCTCTTGCAGATCACATTTCCATTGTCATCTGCCTGCCATCCTTTTCTGTGCCTCTTTCTGCAAGATGAACCCCTAGTCCTTTCTCAAGCTCCCTTTGCATCACCGTCTGTAGGAAGCCCCTCTAACGAGACCTGTATCTGTTCATCCATTTTCCTGTCTGTGCTAACCCCCACCACACTGTGCTGGGCCAACTGGACATGGCCAAGAAGCAAGAAGCCCCTAAGGGCCTGACTCAGCATCTCCCCAAGTCTTGGCCCCAGCCTAGGTAAGCTGTGAAGGATCCTCCAGGTGTTTACTGAACTGAGTCTAGTGCAGTTTCCAGGATAGGGTGGGAAGAGCAGAGCCTCCCTGGAGCAGGAGGATTCACACTATGGAGTGAGGTGGTGATGCTTCTCTGAGTGCACCTCTCCTTACAGGCTTGCCTTCCTAGCAATTTCTCTTTGCTTTCTTTTTCTGCATTTCCAAGTTTTTCAGTAAAGAGCATATATACTCTTATATTGCCCTTCCAAAGACAAACTATAATGTTTCTTAAGTTGAAATAAAAAATAAAATTCCTGGCTGAGGTAATCTGCTTTCCTGCTGAAAAGGCCCCTTGGATTTGTGAAGGTGCAACTATGACTTTCAGATGGCCTTCCTGGGACTTATGATGGGGCTTTGCTGCCCACTAGTGGCAAATGGACTTATAGATCTGGCACTAAGGATGGTCTGAGCAGGCTCAGAGAGAAGACAGGAAACTGAAAGACCTCCAGGGAAGATGTGAGCTCTCCTGGACCTCCCATTGGGCCAGGGAGTCACCAACCTTCTCCCTGCAGATGGCTGAGCATGATGTAGAAGTGCCCCAACCTGACTGGTAACAGACCATGACTTGGTTCTAGGCTCCAGTCCAGGGCTATGCTGACCCCAGGCAGGGTCTGAGTCTTGGGATCAGGGGTGAGCCTCAGTGGATCAGGCTCATGTTCATCCCAGTCCAACCTGGAGCAGGCTGGACTGTTCTGTAAGAAGGGCAGTGGTGAGACCCCAGAGGATCTGAAAAGGCTCACCTCCTCTCAAACGTGTCATTGCCCCTTGTCTCCCTGCCTGCTTTCTGGGTTTATCTTTGCTGACAACATCCCTCCCCCCGCCCCCAGCCACCACCTCAGATCTTCCTGCACCAGGTCTGTGTCTGATCTGACCATTCACCTCCAGTAGTCATTAGTCACTAAAACAGGGCCTGGGCCTAAGGAAGGAAAGGGGAGAGGCCAAAGGAGGGTTGTGGGCTCCCCACCAGCATTTACTCCTATCACAGGTCTCTTTCTGTTCCGTGAATGCTTTCAGCCTATTTTAGTCTCTGGATCTTTGCACTGTTCTCTCTGTCCAGAGCTCTCTCCTCCCCAGTTGTCATGCAACAGGTACTTTCTCCTCATTCCTGTTGCAACCTATGTGTTACTTGCTCAGAAAGGCCTTCCTAGACCACTCAATGTAAAGCAAGCTCTGCAGACCACCTCCATCTGGCTAGTTCACTGCTATGTCCCCAGCATCCATAGGAGCCCTGACACATAGGTGCTCCACCAGAATTCGCTGAATACACAAATTCAAAGGCGCTGAAGGAATGTAGTGCCATCCAGTCTGGAGTGAGATTAGTGTGGCTCCAGGACAAAAGGAGTTTCGAGAAGGGGCCCTGAATGGGGATGGCCAGGTAAGAACAAAATGGCAGTCCACCAGCTACCTCCCCACACCTCAAGTAAGAGAAGCTCCAGCAGCTGGTCAAACTTTCTCAGCAGATTCTCAGTGGCCAGGAGCCCACTTTTTGTAGCATTTGCCAATGTCCACAGTGTAAATTTTCTCACTGTGGCCAATTTCAGGCTACAGATGCTCTGATAACTGGCTGGCAACTTTTTAAAAGACCAGTATGAGCTGGTTCCATCCACCACTGGCTCTGGCCTGCTGAGGACAAGGTGTGGGAGAAGCATGGCAGGACAGCCCACAGGGTCCATCTCTTCTTCATCAGGACAGAGGGTAGCAGGGCTGGCATAGGTGGAAGGCTGCTGACCCACTCTCTAGGGAGTGAAAAGGAGGTGATGAGAAGGGACTCATCCGGGGAACATGGAAGTGGGGCACAAATGTTTGCCTCAGGATGAAATTAGGACCAGCCACCAGGTGTGGGTGGAAAAGTGAGTAGGGCAGGCGAGCAGGAGAGGCGGGGAAAGCCCGCTGGGAATCAGGACTCTGAGCCCACACTCTCAGATCCTCCCCCAGGATCATTCTCACCTGGTGGCCTGCCTCCCCCTAGTGGTTCTACCAGAAACTGCAGGAGCTTCTCTTGCTCCTCCCAGGGCCAAGTCCAACACAGAATCTTCCCTGGGCACCCACAATGCTGTGCATGGTCCAGGCTGGAGAGAGGGGGGATGAGTGAGAAGAAAATTATTTTTGTGGGAACAGAAAATTGTATAGGGAGGAAAAAAGTGGAGGAATATATTTCTGAGGTAGTAGCAGATCACTCTTTTACCTCCTGCTGTCCCATTCAAGCAGCTGGGCTATTCCTTACCCATCACATAAGGTGAGAGGTGGATCAAGGTAGCAAACAGAAGAAAAGGGTCGGGACCCCAGCATCTGGTGTCAGCATCCAAAGCCTTTATGAGGATTGTGAGAAATCAGAGGGGTGGTGACATTGCTCCTTAGCATGGTGACAGAGGAAGTCTCCCTCTCTCCTTTCTCCCCCACAGCCCCAGACTGGAGAAGATACACCCAGAGGGATGCTGGGGAACCAGAGAGCAAGGCACTCAGGGCTAAAGGGTCAGTTGGACCTCAAGGGTCAGGTGCACACTGAAACCACAGTCTGTGATCTCCTAGCCTCCAGCATCTACATCAGTCTGTGCTGCCCTGGGCTACATGGCTGTCCTTCCAGTGGGTCCCTATCTACCTACCTCTTTCAGACAAGAGCTCTGTCCTGGAATTGTCTGGACAAGAGAGGTAGGCAGCATTTGAATTGGTTTCTGAAGGAGGAACTCACCATGCGGAGTCAGGATCAGGGCATTTGAGGCTGAGGTGTCAGTGTGGTTAAAAGTTTAGAGGCAGGAAGAAAGGTATGCGGTTTATCCAGGAAGCCACAGTGCTTCTGTTGGCTGGCACATCAAGGAGATCGGTAGTTGTGGGCATAAGGAAATAGAAGCAACAGGTGGAGGCAGGTCTCTTTTGCTATCCTAAGGATAAAGACAAGGTCCAGAATCCCCTGAGGACTGGGAAATTAAGTATCAGACCAACCTGGTCAGATTTGCATTTTCTAAAACTCAAACTGGCTCGCCAGTAGACCACAGATTGCCAGGGTGTGGGTTCTGGGGCTCATCCGGTGGCAGGGAGAAGTTCTGGGGTGGAGGGTAGGTGACTGCTCAATCATCAGGCAACAGGTTTACTAAGACTTTAGTCAAATCAATACACTGGCAACAAAGCAGTTGTTCAGAGAGTGTGGTTTATTTTCTCAGATATGTAGAAATCAATTTAAAACCTGAGGTACAAATGAACAAGCCCCATGTCCCCCTCTTGAGTCTTGTTTAGAAGGAGCAGGACATAGACTCTTTTGCTAAAATAAATATACTTCCCATTGCATATGGTAATAAATAAAAACATAAATAAATAAATAGGATAAAAATGAGAATATAGTCAGGAAAGGCCAAATGGGGGCAGCACGTTTCAGAAATTAGATAATGGACAATTCATCTGACTCCACAGGAGAAAATGAAATCCCTCCAGTCTTGGACTGGAGAGGTGAGAGACATCCCAGAGTCTTCAGGTGTTCTGCTGTATCTGACATCCAAGGCCCCATGGTGAGAAGGCCTCAGACTGAGAATTCTAGGACTCAGGGTTTGTTCTTGAAATTCAGAAAGTTATCAAGGGCTTCCAGATATTTTTTCAATTTCCTTTGGAAATCGCCCCAATTATTCTCCATGATAGAGATTGGTTCTCCCTGTGAAGAAACAAGGAAGGTGATATTAGGTTGGAAGGTAGATGACAGGCTAGGAGTCAGGTCATGGCTGAGCATACCACATGCATCTTGGGGCATCTTGGGGATCAGCTTACCCTGGGTGTGGGAGTGGGCAGGAGTGGCAGGAATTCCTGTGGGAAGAAACCAAAGCAGGTAGTCAGAGACTCACCTGGAAAAAGAGCAGCCTCCCCAGAGGCTGATCAGGGTAACACAGGGATCCTCAAAACCGTCAACAGCTTTACCCACCTTAAGATTATTCCAGATTAGCAATCCATTTTTGTGGAACTTGCTGGAAGCATTCAAGAATACATCCAGGTTTGGCCTCAGAAGGGTATCTTCCTATGGAAACCAAGAAAACACGTGGGAAAAGGTCAGGGTTCAGCCTTCTAACATGGCTGAAGTCATTCCCAGTTTTTCAAATCTGCTTTCAGTGACATCCTTGGACAGTCCTCTGCTAGTTCCCCTTCTGCCCCAGGTGGGTCCCTGAGATACCCCTAATGGCACAGGCCTATATGTGAGTGTATACCCCAAACAAGGCCTATTTCCCTTGACCCCAAGCCCCTGGCTCCAGGTAAGCTACAAGGGCCTGGGTGGATCTTTCTGCCCTTGGGGGGAAAAAGCATTGTCCAAAAGAAGATCTACAAAAGGTAGAGGGCTGGCCAGGGGAGTATTTGCAGCTAAGAGACCAGATATCAGGATTAATGCCTTGACTGAATGAAGGGCTCCTAGAAATCTGGAAGAAAATCACAGAGAGGCCAATCCCAGCAGGACGTGGGTGCAGCCTGTGAACTGTGCATGCCTACAAATGGGGGATACACATGGCCAATAAACTCAGGAGAGATTCAGCCTCTTGTTGGACCTAAGGAATGCCATGCAAACAAAGGTGAGATAACCATGGAAGCCAACTGAAACTAGGAAAAGTAAGTGTAAATGGTAATGCCCAGGGCTAGTCAGTGTGAGAAACAGAATTCAGTGTCTTAAGGAAAAGGAAGGCAGGAAAGTTCTTGGGGGAAATTGTAGGTTGCCCCTACTAAAAAATGAGGAGTTAAGACCTTTGAAGTTGTTCACCTAGAGCTGCCTTTACATTTGTAATTAAAAAAAAAAAAAAAAAAAAAAGCATTTCCTCATTATAGACCCAGCTGGGAAAATGTTTTGAATGCTTGTTAGCACCTGACACTGGTCCAGTGACTCTATTCACTGGTGCCACATAATTCTCATAGCAACCCCACTGAGATACACACTGTTAACCCCGTTTGCAGATGAAACACTGAGGCTAGGCAAGGTAGGGTGACCTGCCCCAGGCCACCCAAGTGGGAAGTGGATTGGGATCCAGGTGCCCAAGTGTGGGCTGAGTGCTTACCAGCAAGGTCTCTTTCTCATTTGAGTCCAAGGGTTCCTGTGGGGGCAGAGGGAGAGACAGCTGTGAGGCCTCTGCCAGCCCCTCCCTACCCTCTACCAACCTATCCCAGTTACTTACTTCTGAAGGCGAGGGTGACTTGTTTAACATCTCCATAATTTCATTGATCATTGTGAAGTATTGCTTAGGCAGGTGTGTCGATAAAGGCCTCCCCTGTGCCTGTGGGGCTTGGCATCCAAGCAGGAGCAAGAGAAGGTGCAGGATGGGGAAGCTGCTCATGTTCAGGCTGGCAGGGTGTAGTCTGTCTCGTTCTGGTCCTTTGTAGCGTTCTGAAGTATCCGACACAGTGTCCTGTCTTTTATGCCCTGAGACTGTGCCTACACCCCGATGAGAGCAGCAGATCGGAAGAATTTTTATCTGACATGGAACCTCCATAGCAAACCACAGACTTATTCATCACTTTCTAGTACTGGAGATCAGTGAAACTTGGAAAAAAAAATTACTCAGAGGTTATCTCCTCCTCTTGCAAGGAGGATAAGAGATGGGCTAGCCACTGGGCAGAGTGGAATAGGTGAGAAGATCCCTCTGACAGGTGAGGGGTTGCCAGACTCTGAGCTACCTTAAGCCTCCTGCCTGCCATCCCCTGGGCAGCTCTGACTGTTTGCTGACCAACCTGCTGGGCACTCCCTGGTCCTATGTGGGTGTCCAAGTGAAGGCCCACTGGAACAGATGATAGTTTGTCTGGAAGCCTGTCACACAGCTAACTGTTCACCTTTGGGTTCATCCACTGAGAAGCACATCTCCTGACTACCCCCCACCCCAATGCTGAGTTACTGGTGTTAAAGCCCCCTGGGGTTTGCCCCATGGCCTGTGGGCTGCTTCTCCTCAATACTTTCTGTTCCTGGTGGGGGGCAGACACTCATTCTTTTTTCATTGATCTGACAGCCTGACTCTGCCCTGGGTTTTGGGGTCTTAACCTCTAGTGGAGGCCTGGCTGCAAGCCCCAGACATTCCCTTTGGTTGCACAGAAGAGCTGGGGCCTTTGAGGAAATTATCCCTGGGAGATAGGGGAAGGCGCTAGCCTGGGAAGGTTTAGGAGGTGGAACTGGAAGCTCTGAGGGCTAAGGCAAGGGAAGAGGGGAAGGCAACTTTTGGTTTCAGACTGGGTCTCTAGCAATGGGGGCGGAGGAATAGCAGAGAGAGCTGTGTTACAGGGGTCTGGATCCCAGTCTGAGGGAGTATGGACTTGGCAGGCACAGGCCCTGTAGGAAGGCTTTGCAGAGTCAGGGAGAGGGCAGGGACAGACCATGAGAAGCCCATAGAGAACCAGAGAAACAGCAGCTAGAGAAGAAGCAGGAAAACCAGGAGGCTAGGGGGGCCCAGAGACAGCCCCTGAAGGGAGAGGGGGACCACTGTCCCATGAGGCATGTCAGGCCCTGACTCAAGCCCAGGACAGAGGGTTTTGGCAAAGGGGTGAATGTGACAGGGTGTGGGGAAGAGTTCTTTGAGATAACTGGGCCTGGGGCAGCGGAACAGGAGAGGCGGGCTGGAAGATCCAGGGGTCAGGGTGAGATGTGATACAATCTGTGGGGAGTGTAATGTGAGATGTGATACAGTGTGGGGAGATGAAGGATAGAAGGTTATGCTGAGGCAGGGAAACTGGGGTGTTTTGGGCCTCTGACCAAGGAGCAGATCTGGTAAAGACAAGGACCAGGATGTGGCTGCAGAGAAGGCAGGTGAAGAAGCTGTGACCCAAGGCATTGCTTTGAGAATAACGCCCTTAGCCAGTATACATGGCGCCCTGCTCAGCCATGGGCCAGGAAGGGTCCTGGAATCTGGGCCCAGAACATCCTCAGAAAACACAGGGAATGTCTTGAAGGCACAGTGAAATGAGGCAACACCAGGGAACCTTATGGCTAGGTACTCACTAGGCATCAAGCATCCAATAGTTGCTATGTGTAAGCCCTGGGAATAGAACAGCCTTGGCTCCTCTCCTTACGAAATGCATAGTCTTGTGAGGAGAGGCCAACAGCTAGCCTCGCTCCTCTAATCTTGGACCTCAGAACCACTGCTTCAGCAGCACGTGGGAGCTTATTGGAAGTGCAGATGCTCAGGCCTCATGCCAGACGTTCAGAATCAAAAATTGCATTTTGACAAGACCCTCAGGTGATTCACATGACATTGCAGAAGTTCTGATTTTAAGTACTTAACTCATAACATAAGAGCTTAATAAATGTGAGATGCTGTTATTATCTGCTCTCCCTACATACTTTGTATAGGCCTCATACAACACTTTCACTTTGTATTTGTTCTTGTCTGCCCTATTAGACTTTGAGCTTAAAAGCTGGGAAAACAATAAAGTACTCAGCTTGGGTAAGGCTGAGGGTCCTTGCCTCAGAGACACAGGGCTTCTTGACTACTACCATGGGTTGGTGTTAACCTTCTATATAAAAGTTTTAGGGACCTGAACACAAAAATGTGTGATTTCTTACAGAGAAAAACCTCTACTTTTTTTTTAATCAAAGGACTTTTTGAGGGAATTTTGAAGTTCAGTTAGTTTTAAAGCTAGGAAAGCTGAGCATTCCTGCAAATGCTCCTTTAAAAGTCCTGACTTTGTATTGCATTATAGCAAAGAAAACCCGAGCAATGCTACTATAAATCTTGACATTTATAGTATTTGTTTCTTGTTTTTAAAAATCTTACAAAGGTTATCAAGGGAGAAGGTAGTCTTAGGCCTTATGCCAGAAGCATTGGAAGCACTGTGAGGTATCCAGCCAGGGAAGCATATAGCCCTGAAATGTTTGGGTTCCAGGAAGCCCAGTCTAGCCACTGTGGGGAGAATGGCTAGGAAGAATCAGGACAGCAGGGTGGCCAGTGAGGGGGTGTGGGAGCATCTCTGGACCATAGATGGTGGAGAGGCTAGCCTGGGTTGTTTCTGGTGCAGAGGCAGAGAACTGCATGGAGGTAAAATCTAACAGCTAACTTCCACTGAGTGACACTTAGCAAATGCTGGGCGCTCTGTTCTTTTCCCTAGTTGACTCATTAATCTTCACAGTGAACCTATGAGGCAGGTTTTCTCATTATCACTGTTTCACAGCTAGGAAACTGAGACTCAGGGAGGCTGAGTTCCTACAGCTAGAAAGTGGCATTGCCAAGATCGAATGCAAGCAGGTCTGTCTGACCCTAGAGGCTGAGTTCCAGAAAGTAATAGATTAAGGGGTGATGCAGGGTGGTAGGAGGGGGACAGTGTGGTGAGAATAAGATGTAGCCACTGGAATGATTGACAAGAGGACACTGGTGCCTCTGGGGGAGCAGTTTTATTGTGCAGTAGAACAGAAGCTGGTGGCGGTAGGCTGATGAATGAAGGTGGGACAAAGGATACTAGATGCTTTGAAGTTTTATTCTGAAGGGAAGGGGAGAGAGGTAGGTGGCTAGAGGAGTGAAAGAATCAGAGAGGATCTTTCCAGACAGGGAAGCTTGAAGTTCTGTCTGCTGGAGCTGAGCTGAGAGTGGGTTGGACAGGGAAGGCTCCTTGCATTACGCGTCACGTTGCTCATCTGAGCAGAGGGCTCAGCTAGTGCATCCGGGGGGGGGGGGGGGTGCAATGGATTGTGTCCACTGGTTTGGTGGGAGGAGAGGAAAATGGTTTTCTGTGTCCCCTGTGAAATAGACAAAGTCAACTCCTAAAGATTTAGAGAGGTGGGTAGGGTTAGAGGCATGGAGGCCGCCGTGGTTGGGAGTGTGTGAGCTGATTGTCTGGAGATGACCATAAGGGGCTGGTAGCCTGGGCTTAAAATGCAAGGAGGTAGAGAGAATCCAAAGCCTTTGGATTCAAAGTGAGAGGTCCAAAGTATAGAATGGAGGGCCTCCAAGGCAGGGTTATGAGGCCATGGGAGGAGGCCATGATGGGCTGAGAAAGGAGCAGGGATGGCCAGAGCAAGTCAGGCAGGAGGTAGTGGGCCCAGTCCCCTTGGAGAGGCCATTTGAGAACAAGCCAGTACTTATCCCTGTGCAAGGAACAGAGAGTAACATTTCATGAAGCGAATATTCTTCAGCGAGGGCTGTTCAGCTGCTGCTGTAGGGGACAGCCAGGTATCCTCCCCAGTGCTTCTGTGACCTCTCAAGGCATCCAGAGGACTGACCTCCTTCGGGAGTCTCCTTTGAGGTTTGCCTTGGCTCTAAAGGAGCTGCTTTGGGTCAAATCACTGGAACCCCCTCCTTCTCCCGCAGGCCATAGTCATGCCCAACCGTTTGGAAAAGCCTGGCCTCCTGTAATAAAGTGACTCTACCCCTGGTATTTACATCACCCTAGCCTAGGGAAAGCCTCCTCTGTAGGCTGGGCTGATCGCAATCAGGAAGGGAAATGAGCTGAGGGTGCCCAGCTCCAGGTGGCACCAGGGAGGCCCTGCTAGAGCTGGGGTGGGAGAGCCAACCCAGTACTGCTGACCCAAGTCTGCAGAAAAGGACTCAGGGTGGGTCTCTGGGCCCCATCCCATAGGTCTCCATAGGCCTGTGGTCCAGGTTTACTTGGAATGGGCCACAGTGTTTAAGCTTGTGACCTTTGAGACCCATCCACATCTGCTCCTTCCTCTCACCCCACTCAGCCACACAGGTCTAGTGGAATTTTCTGGGGGACCCAGCAGCAGGGACCCAGACCTCAGTTATCATGACAGACACCCTTTACACCCTCTCTATTGCCTCCTGTGTCAGATTTTGTCTGCCCATGACCTTCCGCTGGTAACCCTGACCACACTGCCTGGTTTTGTCAATACAGAAGGCAGCTCAGGGCTCCTGGCTGGCCAAGCAGTGCTATTAGGTTTCATGTGCTCACCTGAACAGAAAGAGCTCTGGGAAAAGGGGGTCTGGACTTCTGTCTCACCCAGCTCTATACCCCTGCCCTGGGGCCTGCATAGCCTCACCCTTGTGACCTTCCACTTTCCATCCCATGCTGTGGATGTGGCCTCCTTGGGGCCCAACTGTGCCAAATAGATCTCCTCCCCAAGTCCAATCATAGAGAAGACAGATGGAAAATCACAGTTTAAAATAATAAGCCTGGAAATGGGACAACCTCGCCCAGCTTGGACAATATGGAAAGACTGAGGAAGGGAAAGCTAAGCTAAGGAGAGTGCAGAGCTAGACATGATATAGATGGAATGCTCCCCAGTACAGCTGGGTTTGGGGATGCAGGCATTCTGTCTGTCAGTCTCAAGTCTACTAGCCTCAACTCAGATAATCTGGTAATTGGGGGTAACCATGTCATTCTTGTTATTTAAAAACATATGTGCATTTGCTGCCTGCCATTCTCTCACGGCCCACCTGGAACACAAAGATTTGGGACATGCATGCCTATTATGTTGATAAAACCAGGAACCAGGTGAGGGACAGACATACAGGGCCCTCACTCCCACACTTCCCATTCTCAAAGAAGCTGCTCCAAAACTGTGAAGGGATGTACATGCTAGTAACACAGTGTTCCACCCCCTTAAATGAACTGCTCTTCTAAGTGATTGAGCCTTCATGCAGATGGTTAGCCATGGAGATGACGTTACCAGGCAAAATCTTGGCTGCCTTGCAGGCAGAGAAGGGGAGGCCAGGAAAGGTGGGTGACAGAGAGAGCTGTTCAGGGGAAAACAGGACCAGATCCTGGCTGGGGAGAGCCACAAACAGGCCCAGGTGAGCTCAGAGCCAGATTGCCCACTGTGTCTGGTGAGCAGTGGTTCTTACCGTCCTTGCTGAGGTGAGGTGAAACTTTGAGAAGGTTTTTTCAAGTTTACTGATCATAAGTTCCAGAAAATGATGAATAAGTTGATAAGTTTGTCATGGAGGTTCCCTATCAGAAAAGGGTATCAGCACATCTGGGGCTTCTCTGAACGTCCCGCATCACCCCGTTTCCCGCCTTGCCTCACCCCCACCCCCCTCAGTGGGTCTATAAGAGAGAAGGAGGCTGGGCCACTTCAGATCCCATACAGCCAGGGAGGACCACATTTGCTCCTAGAAATTCAGAGATGTGGACGTCCCCCTGCCTTCAGCTTCTCATCTTCCTTCCTTTCAGCCTCTCCAGATCCCTGCTCTCAGTGACCCCTGCATACCAGGAGCAGGCCTGTTGCGAGTACTGGAGCACCATCCCTGAAATCTACTATAAGCTGAACATTACCTCTGTGAGTAGCTGGGGACACACTGGGCATGGGTAGGAATGGCCTGGCAGTCTCAGGCCAGAGGCACTCATAGTTCTCCCTTTTCCCCTGCAGACACCTGAAGACTTCAATCTGCGGCTAGAGCTGGAGGTGAGAGCTCAGGCCCAGGGGCCTACTGTCTCCCTGCCAGTGACTGCCATTATGCTGCTGGTCACTGCCCTGGGCTTGGGAGTGTTTGGCTCAGGCACACCTGGATGGTCACACCTGAGCTTTTATCCTTTACCTGCCATTTTAAGGGCAGATACTTGGATTCACCTGTTCTTTGCCTCATGTGGGGGTTGTAGAGTAGATGTTTATTTCCAAGTATTGGAGTTCTAAAATTTTAGGTTGCTAAAGCAGGCCTCCTTCCCTTTGGATTCTTCTGGCAGCTGGGTCATGAAGTTTCCAATTCACCCAGGCTCTTTCCAGAGCCCATCTGGAGCCAGGTGGTGGGACAGGCCTTTCCTTGACTGGGATTTGCTGGAATGTGCTGTGACCACCTCCGTTCCTGTGCTCATGGGGCAGCTGGGTTCTTTCTGGTCTGTCTCGGGCAGGACAGAGCACCAATGCAGAAAGCTAGGGGAAGTGGTGGAGGGTGCCAGCAAAGGCATCACAGAAAGGAGGCAGGAGGGATGACACACCACACCATGAGGACAGCCCCTCCTGAACCCTCCCTCAATCACTCTTTGTCCTACAGAAAGATACCCTTCTGAAGTCTAACCTGGCTGCCTTCCGGAACATCTCAGAGAAGTTCTTCAGTGTCTCTAATGCATCTTTATCCATCAGTAAAAATCTGGAGAAGCTGGAGGTATGTGAGGTTGGGGAGGGTCTCTGTGGCACTGGGTCTCCAGGACCACAAAGGAGCCCACTCCAGATCAGAGTGCATGGCCTTATCTTACCCATTTCCCAAATAGCAGCAGCATTTTCACCCTGATACCTGAGTTCCTACCCCTTCCCTTGCTGCCAACCCCTCCATGGCTGGGGACAGAGTTACCACCTAGTACCTTCCTGAGGAGGGTCACTGGCAGGGAGACACAGAGGTCCAACAGCTCCTAGTGAGACTCCTGTTGCCTTCTTGGCTTTCCCCAAAAAGGTCGACTAACTGGCTTTTCTTGTCTCTGGACCACAGAACTTGCTGCAAACCTTGCCCATGCCCATGCCCACACCCCAGGTAAGCTGCCCAGACTGAGCATGGAACCTACCATATCCCTTCTGCCTCCTTCACATCTGACCCATATTTCTTATTTCTTCAAAGAGAGAAGTGTACATCCAAGCAGAAGATTTTAATGAGTTTTCAGAGAAGCTGAAAATCTTCCTGGAAGCCCTGGATGATTTCCTGAAGCCCTTACTGAAATGCCCAGGAACTTTCAAAGCCTGGTGTAAAAAGTCTTAGTCCAGAGCTTTGTACTCCCAGGGCTCAGAGCTGGGCTCAGGTCCTGGGTCTCCAACCCTCCTCCTTGATATTCTAGTTAATGTTCCAATCTGTAACAGATCTCACTGACAATCCTATTTATGTAACAGTTTATTTATTGTTCACCCTATTATGGAGTTATTTATTGTAATAATGGAGCCCTCTTAGCTGCTGAGCAGAGCTCAGAGGAGATGTGAAGCTGTTTTCATTTGTACTTCAAATTGCAAAAGGGTTCCTTCTCTGCAAGAAATAAATGTTTTATGAAGAGCTACTTTGTGCACAATGTTGCATTTCTAGAGGGTTTCTCTTGTTTGATCTGAGTCTGGGTTGCAGTTTCTACATCCATGGTTAATTTCTTTAATTCTGTGGTTTTGATTCCTCTTGGGATTCTGTCTTTTTTCCCCCCTGGTGTTCCCTATCCTATCCCCTGCATGGGCTCACTCAGATCTTTTCCTTCTTCCTGGCTCGGGCACCACCATCATCCCCATGCCCCTACTCATCCCTCTCCTCACTACCCACATCTGCCTCCTAGCGCCTCTCTGCTCTGTCCACTTCTCATCATTCCCATGTGCACCACCACCCCTATCTGGCCCCAGACCTGACTGCTGGAATTCCCACCATAGCTCCCAGGCCAGACAGCTCCCATCTTCTTTCTCAAAGGTGCCGGAACAGCTGGACACCTCTCTGCCCACAGCCGCCCTGATGCTGTCCCTCTAGTGACTTAGGGTTAGCCCACTTGGACCAGGCCCCAGGAGAAACACACTTTGGTTTTCTTCCTAATGAAGTCCCCATTGAGGATCCATATGGCTTCTTTCAGTACAGAGAATGAATAGCCCTTGTTAGTTTGGGATCCTGATCTCCCAAAGTCCCCTCACACCTATTTAAGTCTTTGGTCCTCTCTCACCCCCCTGTCCTTTTCTACCGCCTGGGGGCCACACCTGGATGAGAAGAATATAGTCCACACCACATGATGTGAAATATGCTCCAGTTTTTTTATATTCTAAAACCCTCCAGATTCAATGAAACACAACTCTAATGGCCAGTTAGCAAATGAAGTGTCTTCTTCCTAGTTAGCTGTCAACTAGAGGACATTTGCTTGTTGTAAACTACTGTCTCAAGATAGAATGTCAGTTTAACAAGATGCTGAGTAGGGTTTTGCCTGTTGTCCTAGAAAAGACAACCAGCATCCAAGCTTATGCCTCTTTGACCCAAGAAGACAACCAGTGGGACAGAGTGCCTTGGAGCCTCTGGCCTCCCACAGTGTGATGGAGCAAGAATATGTGGTTTTCTTTTCTTTTTTTTTTAACATTTTTAAAATATTTTATTTATTTATGAGAGAGAGAGAGAGAGAGAGGCAGGCAGAGGGAGAAGCAGGCTCTATGCAGGGAGCCTGACGTGGGACTCAATCCTGGGTCCCCAGGATCAGGCCCTGGGCTGAAGGCACCGCTAAACTGCTGAGCCATCCGGGCTGCCTGAATATGTGGTTTTCTAAGGCCTAAGCAGAAAGCCAGAAGTTAGAAGGGCTTAAAGCCCTGGTGAAGAAGGCTACCTGCCAACTAGAGGAACTCAGGAAGATACTGTAGGATGATCCCAGGGACTGGAGCAGGGGGCTCAGAAGAGGTAGAATGAAGGGTTTTTCCTGGAGGGGGAGCTATGGAGTAAGCAGGTTCCTGCCTGTTCCTTCACAGAATCCCAAAGGATGCAGACACATACCCATGGGACCCACCTGCCACAGAGAGCCTTGCAGTCAGGCAAGTCTAGCCTGAAAAGCAACAACAGGTAAGAAGATGACAACAGTGCCTGTCATGTAAGAGGCAGGGGTCTCAATCCTCCACACTCCAATGTCCCAAGGAGGAAGGGGTCCTGAAGAGGAAGGGGAAAAGAGAAAATGCAGCCATGCCTTCCCCCACCCTCATTGGGTGGCAGCGCTCCATGGCAGAACTAACCAGCCTAGAGAAGGGGGAGAAGTGGGTGTCACATTGGCTCCAAGCTGCACCCGATTTTCTTTTAGACTGCAAGGGACTCAAGAGTTGGGAATCTGCTCAAGAAGTTGACCAGTCAGGAATGAGTGGTAGGAAGGGACACAGATAAAGACGATGATTGAAAAAGGAATAAGTGGTGGTTTGTATGTGCCGGCCTCTGCGCCCCAGTCATTTGGCAGCCTCTCACAGCTCACAGTTACAGAGCCCCTGCTCCCCCCTGCTGTCTGTGCCCCTGTGAAGCTCCATCCATGCTCTCCATCCAGCCCATTGTTCCCGTGCATCTTCCTCCTCATTCAAATGCCCTGACTAGCTGCTTCTGTAGGTCTGTCAGGTCTAGAAGTGAGAGGAAGTTCACTGAAACAGGAGGACAACTTGCTTGCACCCATTTTCTCTGCCCTGCCTCCCTCTGACTCAGAGCCTCCTCTGGCCAATTCTTTTGGGAGCGTAAGCTCTTTAGCTCTGCGACTGTTATCCTCTATGTGCTGTGCCCAAATGGTGGGTCCTCTACCTCCTTGTCACCTCCTCCCCTCTGCACACAGGACCCTCTATTTGGCTTCTTACATATCTTATCTCTAATTTGTGGAAGTTTAGATTGAAACATTGGCCCGACTATTGAACACTAACGTTTTCCAAACATCTTCTTGTGTATTGTGTCCCATAGGTTTACAACGAACTCTTTCAACTCAGAACTTTTTCAGATTTAGCTCCTGAGTCTCAGTCTTATCATTCCAGGGAACTTGTCTGGTAAGTACTCCACAAGGCTGGGGTGAGTTGAGGAGGCCCATGGCCTGGAATGCCACACTTCATTTCTGCCTGCCCAGAAGTCTGTGCCAAAAGGGCCACAAGACCACAGACAGCAGGTTAGAAGTGAAGTTGGAGTCATGGGTCTCTTTGGTCTTTGTAGGTTAATTGTCCTAACCTCTCTAATGATTGTTTTCTTTCTTTCTTTCTTTCCTTTTTTTTAAAGATTTTACTTATTTATTCATGAGAGACACACAGAGAGAGAGGTAGAAACACAGGCAGAGGGAGAAGCAAGCTCCCTATGGGGAGCCCGATGTGGGACTCAATCCCAGGATCCCGGGATCCCAACCTGAACCAAAGGTAGATGCTCAACCACTGAGCCATCCAAGTGCCTCTCTAATGATTGTTTTCTTAACTGAAATTGCCTTAGGTCCTCACTTTGAAACATATAGTCTGTATTTGTATGCCAGTGTTCATACAGCTGTCTTAGTCCATATAGGCTGCTATAAAAAACTATAGGTTCTGTGGCTTAGAAAGCACAGAAATTTATTTCTCACAGTTCTGGAGACTGGGCAGTCCAATATCAAGATGCTGACAGATTCAGTATCAGATGAGGGACTCTTTCCTTGTTCATAGATGGCTATCTTTTCACTCTAACTTCACTTGCAAGAAGAGGCAAGAGAGCTCTCTGGGGCCTCTTTTATAAGGGCACTAATCCCATTCATGAGAGGTGTGCCTTCATAACCAGCACTTCCCAAAAGCCCCACTTCCAGATCCCCAGTATGTTGGCAGCCAGATTTCAATGTATGAATGTTGGAGAGATGAAAACATTCAGTCTACAACAGCAGCATTATTTACAGTAGCTAGAGCAGCCCAAGTGTCCATCAACAGCTAGATGGATAGATGAAATACAGCCTTTACACACAGTGGAATATTGTTGATATGAGAAGGGGAAAGGGGAAAGAAGGGGATTCTGATACATGCTGCCATATGGATAAACCTTGAAGACATTGTGCTAAGCAAAAAGAACCAGAGACAAAAGGTAAATATTGCACTCCACTTACAGAAGATATTTCTAGTAATAAAATTTTTAGAAGATTTTTATTTATTTAGAGGGAGAGAGAAAAAGATAGCATGTATGCACATGAACAATGGGGAGAGGGGCAGAGGGAGAGGGACAAGCAGACACCCCACTGAGTGCAGAGCCTGCTGTGGGGCTCCATCTCACAACCCTTAGATCATGACCTGAGCTGAAATCAGGAGTCAGATGCTTAACCAACTGAGCCATCCAAGTGCCCCAATAGTTATCAAATTAGTAGAGACAGAAAATATAAAGATAGTTGCCAGTAGTTGTGGATAGGGGAGAATGGGGCATATTGTTTAATGGATACAGAGCTTCATTTTGAGATGATGAAAAAATTCTGGAGATGGGTGTGGTGATGGTTGCACTATATGAATGTACTTAATGCCACTATACTGTACATTTATAAATGGTTAAGATGATAAATTTCATGTTATATATATTTTACTATAATAAAAAAAAGTCTAGTCTGGGTATTTTTTCAGTAGAGCCTGAGAGTCTTCCTGAGTCTCCCATCACCCAGATTTGCCCAATCCCAGGACATTCTCCACCCTGATCCCTCATCCTTTCTCAGTTTGGGGCCCCTTGTTCTCTTACCAGCCGGGTAAATGACCCTTTATTTTAAGACTCAGTTCCTGACCACTCCATTGTACAGCTCTCTGAGCTTCCTTACCCACCCAAAGGGCACTGCTTACCTTTTAGTATAATAACTTGTTTATGAGAGCATGTGGACCCATAGAAATGGTAGGGCCATATCAGCTTCCTCCCTGTGCCCTAGGAGGCCTATATAGGAAATAGGGGAATTGTCTGGAAGTCCTGGAAGAGTGAGCATTCTGAGCTTAGACACTTGGCATAGGCAATCAGGGTAGCAAGCAGAGGGAAGCACCAAATGAAGATGGCTCTAGCGGTTGGCAGTCTATTGCTCATAGTGGGATCTGGCACAGCCCCAGGTTTCCCTTGCAAATTTCTACTCTACATTTGACATATGGGAATGTCAGGTAAGTAAATTTAGATCTCCCACAGATTACTCTCAGGGTGGGAGGAAGAGAGGCTGGTGGAAAAGACTGCGGTTTTGCCATCTTGCCAAACTCTCTCACTCTGAAAATTTTTCCAGTTCTTTTTGTTTTTCTGGTATTTGAAATGCAAGAAATTTCAATTATTTTATTGTATTTTTTTATATCTAAAAATGGAATGTAGAGCACACATACAGAAAAGGGTATAAAATGTGTATGCATTGTTTAACAAATAATTATAAAGCAGTCACCTATATCACCAGCGCTCGTCAAATGAAATAACATTGCCCAAACTCCAAAATTCTCCCCACATTTGCCTTCTGATCATGGTTTCCTCCCCTTTGGGGATGAAAACTGATTAGCCTATCTCTCTTTTTAAAATAATGTATTTATTTATTCACGAGAGACAGAGGGAAAGGCAGAGACATAGAGGGAGAAACAGGCTCCCTGCAGGCATCCTGATGTGGAACACGATCCCAGGACCCCGGGATCTTGACCTGAACTGAAGGCAGATGCTCAACCGCCCAGGCGTCCCTGATTAGCCTATCTTATGATGATCGGTTTCTTGGTTTTCTTTTAGCTTTGTCAACTTCAAATGCATTTCTAAACAATATAATTTAGCTTTGGCTGCTTTTAAACATTAAGTGAATGGAGTTGAGTTGTTTCCAGTTTTTATTGCAAATGAATCTGCTGCAAATATTATCCTGGAGCACATACACATGTACTTATTAGGCAGAATAGATGAACTCCCAACACCACCACCACCAAGATGTCCATGTCCTAATCCCTGGAACCTGTGAATTTGTTACCTTACTTTTGCAGGGATGATTAAGGATTTTGAGATGTGAAGATTATCCTGGATTATCTGAGTAGGCCCAATGAAATCATCAGGGTTATAAGAGGGATTCAGGAGGGTAAGATACAGGGAAGGAGAGGGGATAGTGGAAGCAGAAGTCAGAGAAAGAGAGATGGATTTGAAAAGCCTTCCCCAGTGGCCTTAAATATAGATGAAGTAGTCATAGGCAAAATGCCTGTGGGGCTCAGTGGTTGAGCGTCTGCCTTTGGCTCAGGTCATGATCCCAGGGTCTGGGATTGAGTACTGTATCAGGCTCCTTGCAGGGAGCCTGCTTCTCCCTCTACCTGTTTTTCTACCTCTCTCTCTCTCTTTCTCTGTCTCTCTCTCTCTCATGAATAAATAAATAGAATCTTAAAAAAAAAAAAGAAGTCATAGGCAAGGAATACAGGAGGCCTCTAGAAGCTGAAAAAGTTGAAGAAACAGAGTCTTTCAGAAAGAATGCAGCCCTACAGTACATTGATTTCAAGTCTTCTCACCTCTAGGACTGTCAACTAATAAAATCTATGTAACTTTAAACCATAAAGTGTGTGGTTATATATGTGTATACACACACCCAGGAGTGGAATTGCTGGGTCTCAGAATATATTCAACTTCACCGATAATGATAAATAAGTAATTTCACAATGTCATACAATTTACATTCCCACCAGCAGTATTTGAGAATTCCTGCTGCTCCACATCCATGCCAACATGTGATATTGTCTGAAATTGTCACACTTTATAAAGTTGTACCAATCTGAGAGACATCAATGCCATCTTATTGTGGTTTAAATTTGCCTTGTCCCAATTGCTAATGAAGGTGAGAAACTTTTCATGTTTATTGACCTTTTGGATTCTTTGTATTATAAAGTGCCTATTGAACATTTTGCCCATTTTTTTCCCCTGGGACTTTCTACAATTTTCTTATTTGCAGGATTTCTTCAAATATCCTGGATACTGGGATGCCTGAGTGGCACAACAGTTGAGCGTCTGCCATTGGCTCAGGGTGTGATCCCAGGATCCGGGATTGAGTCCCACATTGGGCTCCCTGCAGGCAGCCTGCTTCTCCCTCTGCCTGTGTCTCTGCCTCTCTCTCTCTCTCTGTGTGTGTGTGTGTGTGAGACTATCATAAATAAATAAAAAAATTAAAAAAAAGAATCTTTAAAAAAATAAATAATAAATAAATAAATATCCTGCATACTAAAGCTTTGTGGATTATACATGTTGCAAATATCTTCTCACTCTGTTTCGTATCTCATCACTCCATGGTATCTTTTGAAGAACCAAAGTTCTTTGTTTTTATGTACACATCTTCCTCAACCTACGATGGGGTTATGTCCCAATAAACCCATAATAAGTTGAAAATATCATAAGTTGAAAAATGCATTTAATACACCTAACCTACTAAATGTTGCAGCTTTGCTTAGCCTACCTTAAACATGCCCAAAACACGTTAACATACAGTTAGGCAAAATCATCTAACAAAAAGCCTATCTTATAATAAAGTGTTGAATATCTCACATAATTTATTGAATACTGTACTGAAAATGAAAAACAAAATGGCAATATGTGTATTAGTTGTTTACCCTTGTGATAGGGTAGCTGAGGAGCTGCCACTCCCCAGCATCAGGGGAGTGTATCCTGCTGTACATCACTATCCTGGGAAAAGATAAAAAAATCAAAATTTGAAGTATGATTTCTACTGAGTGCATATCACGTTCCCACCATCATAATGTGGAGAAATCACAAGTTCAAACTATTGCAAATTCGAGACTGTAGTCAAATTTTTTCTTTATGGGTAATGGTCTTTGCATCTTTGGGAATTCCTTCCTTTCTTACCTCAAGGTCCTGAGATTTTCTTGTATACTATGTAAGAACTTTCTAATTTTGCTTTCCACATTGATCTCTTCTTGGGTGCTCTCTGCTATTCCATTGGTCTATTTGTCTCCTCTTGCCCCAATATCACACTGTCTTAAATATTATGACTTTATAATACATCTTGGTATCTGGTAAGAACAAGTTCTTCCTCTTGTCTTTTCCTTAAGAGCGTCTTGGCTATTCTTTATCCACATCAACTTTAAATTGGCTTGTCAATTTTTCCTGCCACCCGCACCGCACAACCAAAAATGTTGGAACTTTAGGATTGCATTAATTCTATAAAATTACTTAAGTAAAGTGGCATCTTTAAAGATATAGAGACTTCTAATCTGTGAATATAGTATATCTATTTTTTATTTCGTCACTATCAGTAAAATTTAAAATTTTCTCAGTAAAAAGCTTACACAACTTTTGTTAAATTTAGTCCTAGGAATTTAGTATTTTGGTGTAGTATTAAAAATGATATCTTTTTAAAAAATTTATATTAATGTATTTTTCTTGTATAGAGAAAATATGATTGATTTTTATAGATTAATTTTGTCTCTAGAAAATTTGAAAATTCTATCAGTATTAAAACTTTATAGCTTTTATTGTATTTTTAAAATATTTTATTTATTTATTTGACAGCAAGAAAGAGAACAAGAAGGAAAGCAGCAAGCAGAGGGAGAAGGAGAAGCAGACTCCATATTGAGCAGGGAGCCCATTGTGGGACTTGATCTCCAGACCTGGGGATCATGACCTGAGCAGAAGACAGATGCTTAACTGACTGAGCCACCCAGGTACTCTGCTCTTATTGGATTTTATATATATACAAGTTTACCATCTGTGAATAGGGGCATTTTGTTGCTACTTACTTTTACGTCTTCTATTTTTATTTGTTTACTGTGCAGGCTAGGACATTCTGTACAATGTTAAATAGAAGCAATGATAGGCATCATTGTATTTCACAGATATGAAAAGGAAAGATTTCATCGTTCTACCATTGAGTATGTAGTTTCCTTTCAGTATACAGCAGATATCATTATCAGATTAAGAAAGTTTCCTCGTATTCCTAGGTTTGCTGAGAGTTTTTATCATGAAGTGGATTTTATCAAATAAAGTTTTCCACATATTTTGAGATGAGCATTGTATTTTCTCTTTTAATCTATGCGGTGAATCACATTAATTTACTTTCTAATTTTTTTAAAGATTTTATTTATTTATTCATGAGAGACACAGAGAGAGGTAGAGATAGGCAGAGGAAGGAGAAGTAGGCTCCATGCAGGAACCTGATGCGGAACTCGATCCCAGAACTCCAGGACCATGTCCTGAGCCGAAGACAGATGCTCAACCGCGGAGCCACCCAGGCATCCCTACCTTCTAATGTTAAAATAATTAATATTCCAGGGATGCCTGGGTGGCTTCGCGGTTGAGCGTCTGACTTCGACTCAAGGCATCCCCAGAGTCCTAGAATCAAGTCCCGTATTTGGCTCCCCTCAGGGAGTCTGCTTCCTCTGCCTATGTCTCTGCCTCTCATGAATAAATTAAAAAAAGAATTCATATTCTAGTCAAACCCAACATGGTCCTCATATATTCTTACCATTTTTATATAATGTTAGTATATCCTAATTTTTTATTTTTATTTTATTTTATTTTATTTTATTTTATTTTTTTTTTTAGGATTTTTGCCTCTATGTTTAAGAGTGAGATTTAAGGAAATGTATGTCCTGATTTGCCTGGGATAACCTTGGTACCATTATTGATAGTATTGCCTTTCAGTCTCAAAAGTGCCTGTTTTGGATGATAAAGGAAATGATCAGTCTAGTGAGAATGACTCTGATACTGCCTTCTCATACTGTCTGGTTTTGGTATCACAGCAGTGTTTCCTCATTTTATATTTTCTGTAAGATTTTGTTTAAGATTGGAACTCTGTCTTTCTTGAATGTTTGGTAGAATTCACTGCTGAAGCCATTTGGGGTCAGAGATTTCTTACTGAATCTGTTATTTTATTCTTTTTTAAGATTTTATTTATTTGAGAGAGAGAGAGAGCACAAACGAAGGGAAGGGTAGAGGGAGACAGAGAAGCAGACTCCCTGCTGAGTGGGGAGAGCAACTCAGGACTTGATCCCAGGAACCTGAGATTCCTGGGGCCTGAGCTGAAGTCAGATGCTTAATCAGCTGAGCCACCTGAGTACCCCTGAATCTTTTATAGGTTATAGAATTATTAATGTTTTCTATTTCTCCTTGAGTCAATTTTGAGGTTAAAATTTTATGCTAATTTGTCAACTTTTTCTAAATTTTGTTAACATATGGCTTTTCAAAATATGTCCTTATCTTTTTAATGTCTGCAGCATCAGTAGCCCTGATGTTGGTTATTAATTCTTTTGTCTACTTTCTTAACTATCTCACTGAAGTTTGTGAATTGTTTTAGCCTTTTCAAAAAACCAGCTTTGAGTTTTGTTAATCCTTTCTATTGTATGCTCATTTTCTATTTCATTACTGTTTGCTCTCTACTATTTCCTTTCATGCATTTTCTTCAGGTTATTTTGCCATTCTTTGTCGAACTTCTTGAGATGGATGCTTTACTTGCTATTTGTTGCTCTTTAATCTTTTCTAATATGTGTACTAAGGCCCTAAACCAGAACTTTTTGTTTGTTTTTGTTTTTTTCTTTATTTTATTTTATTTATTTATTTATTTTATTTTTTATTGCTGTTCAATTTGCCAACATATGGAATAACACCCAGTGCTCATCCCATCAAGTGCCCCCCTCAGTGCCCGTCACCCAGTCACCCTCACCCCCCGCCCACTTCCCTTTCTACCACCCCTAGTTCATTTCCCAGAGTTAGGAGTCTCTCATGTTCTGTCTCCCTTTCTGATATTTCCCACTCATTCTTTTCTCCTTTCCCCTTTATTCCCTTTCACTATTTTTTATATTCCCCAAATGAATGAGACCATATAATGTTTGTCCTTCTCCGATTGACTTATTTCACTCAGCATAATACCCTCCAGTTCCATCCACGTCGAAGCAAATGGTGGGTATTTGTCGTCTCTAATGGCTGAGTAATATTCCATTGTATACATAGACACATAGACCACATCTTCTCTATCCATTCATCTTTCGATGGACACCAGGCTCCTTCCACAGTTTGGCTATTGTGGACATTGCTGCTATAAACATCAGGGTACAGGTGTCCCGGCGTTTCATTGTATCTGTATCTTTGGGGTAAATCCCCAGCAATGCAATTGCTGGGTGGTCGCAGGGCAGATCTATTTTTAACTCTTTGAGGAACCTCCACACAGTTTTCCAGAGTGGCTGCACCAGTTCACATTCCCACCAACAGTGCAAGAGGGTTCCCCTTTCTCCACATCCTCTCCAACATTTGTTGTTTCTTGCCTTGTTAATTTTCCCCATTCTCACTGGTATGAGGTGGTATCTCATTGTGGTTTTGATTTGTATTTCCCTGATGGCAAGTGATGCGGAGCATTTTCTCATGTGCTTGTTGGCCATGTGTATGTCTTTCTCTGTGAGATTTCTGTTCATGTCTTTTGCCCATTTCATGATTGGATTGTTTGTTTCTTTGCTGTTGAGCTTAATAAGTTCTTTATAGATCTTGGATACTAGCCCTTTATCTGATACGTCATTTGCAAATATCTTCTCCCATTCTGTAGGTTGTCTTTTAGTTTTGTTGACTGTTTCTTTTGCTGTGCAAAAGCTTTTTATCTTGATGGAGTCCCAATAGTTCATTTTTGCTTTTGTTTCCCTTGCCTTCATGGATGTATCTTGCGAGAAGTTACTGTGGCCAAGTTCAAAAAGGCTGTTGCTTGTGTTCTTATCTAGGAATTTGATGGAATCTTGTCTCACATTAAGATCTTTCATCCATTTTGAGTTTATCTTTGTGTCTGGTGTAAGAGAGTGGTCTAGTTTCGTTCTTCTGCATGTGGCTGTCCCATTTTCCCAGCACCATTTATTGAAGAGACTGTCCTTTTTCCAGTGGATAGTCTTTCTTCCTTTGTTGAATATTAGTTGACCATAAAGTTGAGGGTCCACTTCTGGGTTCTCTATTCTGTTCCATTGATCTATGTGTCTGTTTTTGTGCCAGTACCACACTGTCTTGATGACCACAGCTTTGTAGTACAACCTGAAATCTGGCATTCTGATGCCCCCAGCTCTGGTTTTCTTTTTTAATATTTCCCTGGCTATTCGGGGTCTTTTTTGATTCCACACAAATCTTAAGATGATTTGTCCCAACTCTCTGAAGAAAGTCCATGGTGTTTTGATAGGGATTGCATTAAACATGTAAATTGCCCTGGGTAACATTGACATTTTCACAATATTAATTCTTCCAATCCATGAGCATGGAATATTTTTCCATCTTTTTGTGTCTTCCTCAATTTCTTTCAGAAGTGTTCTGTAATTTTTAGGGTATAGATCCTTTACCTCTTTGGTTAGGTTTATTCCTAGATATCTTATGCTTTTGGGTGCAATTATAAATGGGATTGACTCCTTAATTTCTCTTTCTTCAGTCTCATTGTTAGTGTATAGAAATGCCACTGACTTCTGGACATTGATTTTGTATCCTGTCATACTGCCAAATTGCTGTATGAGTTCTAGCAATCTTGGGGTGGAATCTTTTGGGTTTTCTATGTACAGTATCATGTCATCTGCAAAGAGGGAGAGTTTGACTTCTTCTTTGCCAATTTGAATGCCTTTTATTTCTTTTTGTTGTCTGATTGCTGAGGCTAAGATTTCTAATACTATGTTGAATAGCAGTGGTGAGAGTGGACATCCCTGTCTTGTTCCTGATCTCAGGGGAAAGGCTCTCAGTGCTTCCCCATTGAGAATGATATTTGCTGTGGGCTTTTCATAGATGGCTTTTAAGATGTTGAGGAATGTTCCCTCTATCCCTACACTCTGAAGAGTTTTGACCAGGAATGGATACTGTATTTTGTCAAATGCTTTCTCTACATCTATTAAGAGGATCTTATGGTTCTTGTTTTTTCTCTTGCTGATATGATGAATCACATTGATTGTTTTACGAGTGTTGAACCAGCCTTGTGTCCCGAGGATAAATCCCACTTGGTCATGGTGAATAATCTTCTTAATGTATTGTTGGATCCTATTGGCTAGTATCTTGTTGAGAATTTTTACATCCATGTTCATCAGGGATATTGGTCTATAATTCTCCTTTTTGGTGGGGTCTTTGTCTGGTTTTGGAATTAAGGTGATGCTGGCCTCGTAGAATGAGTTTGGAAGTATTCCATCTCTTTCTATCTTTCTGAACAGCTTTAGTAGAATAGGTACGGTTTCTTCTTTAAACGTTTGATAGAATTCCCCTGGAAAGCCATCTGGCCCTGGACTTTTGTGTCTTGAGAGGTTTTTGATGACTGCTTCAATTTCCTCCCTGGTTATTGGCCTGTTTAGGTGGTCTATGTCTTCCTGTTCCAGTTTTGGTAGTTTGTGGTTTTCCAGAAATGCGTCCATTTCTTCTAGATTGCCTAATTTATTGGCGTGTAGCTGCTCATAATATGTTTTTAAAATTGTTTGTATTTCCTTGGTGTTGGTAGTGATCTCCCCTTTCTCATTCATGATTTTATTAATTTGAATCTTTTCTCTCTTCTTTTTAATAAGGCTGGCTAATGGTTTATCTATCTTACTAATTCTTTCAAAGAACCAACTCCTGGTTTTGTTGATCTGTTCTACAGTTCTTCTGGTCTCTATTTCATTGAGTTCTGCTCAAATCTTTATTAACTCTCTTCTACTGCTGGGTGTAGGATCTATTTGCTGTTTTTTCTCTAGGT